TATCCTATCATTCTTATATCCCCCCTTTTCTTTTCAGAACAAGATCCTAGAATTTAATCTCCTTGTTTTATCTTCCTACCAATAACAACTTGTAATCAACCCACTTAAATAATGATAAACTTCCCCCGAACAACCAAAAACCACCCATCCCACCTCTTGCAAATGTGTGCATCATGTTTTTACTTTGGGAGCAACAGCATCTTCAGGGGACCCTGAGCAAGTTTAGATAATGGCGAAGTCCTGGGGAAACTAGTTGTAACCTTTGTTGTCCAGTCTCTGTGTGATGGGAAAGTATAGAGCTTATCTGAAGTCCTGGCTAGAGGAGTCTGTGAAGCTGGACCATATTGGCTAGCAGCTTTGAAATTGTTCTGGATGCAGAATTTTGAAAAAAGTGTAACAGAGACATTCTAAGAGGATGGATCACCTGGGCTACTTGTTTTTACTGGTGTCAGGTCCCTTTTTTTCTGAAAACACATAAACTTTTAAAGGTAACATATATCTGTATTAACACAAGTATGGAAGGTGTGACTTGCAAAAATCAGCCTAAGATTTTCTGTTTTATGTTTGAGCAGGTAAGACTTATCTGTCAATTCTATAAATCTGTTTGGACTTATAACCAAACCTCTATCCATGCCATATGAAGTGATGGCATGTAATAATAAGTCATGGGGACTCTGTAGCCAACAAGATTTATCATGACTCAACTAGTCTCAGAGCTCTCCCCATACTAGAAGGATCAGCATATATGTCACCTGTCTTATACTTTCTTTGCCTTATTTCTTTATGTCTTTAGTCAAGATTTTTAGTAGGTCATTCCAGATCAAATCTTGTCTCTACTAATTTTGAAGGAAATCACTACTTTCCATTTCCTGTGGAAACAAAAGCAAAGCCTTTCCCCCAAAGCAACATATTTTCCATTCTGAACTTCCATTCTGAAACCAAGACATCCCTAAAGTATATAGGCTTGTTTAATTCAGCAGTCCCTTTTATAATTCAATGTCTCTCAGCAGCTGTCATTACCAAAGCACCACATAAGGTCCAAAATCCCGTGTTATAATCTTTCTTATCTTTACATGGCTCATTTTTAAAAATATTACTTTACTCTTTTTTAGAAGACATTATTTTTAAACTATTTTTCTATGACTGTCTATATCCATTCCCTTTTCTTTTTTCAGTACCTAATCACCTTTTAAAGCATACTGTAATCCGTTCAGAGGTTTTCTCAACCTGGACCATGCTTTACTAAGCAACTATTGCATTTTTTGACCATGTGAGCCAAACCTTAAACCTGCCATGCTGTTCTGCACATGGCACTGTGGGGCAAGCAGCAGGGAGCTACATCTCTGCACTCTGTGGTCCACCTGAGAGACTGCAGGACTCGAAGCCACACCTGGCTACAGGTTTGTGTGTTTGGAACCTTTCTTTTTAAAGCTTTCTCAGGTCCTATATGGAAATACATGCCCCGACACTGGGTGCCATATTTAATGAGTTTCTTCTGCCCCACTTGCTCTCATATAATGACACAGGGGCTTCTTATTAATTATGAAAGCTTGGCCTATACCTTAGGCTTGCTCCTAACTAGCTCTTATACTTAAGTTAACCATTTAATATTAATCTATGCTCTGCCATGTGGCTTGTGGCTATTACCTCTCCTCTTGCTCTGTGTCTCTTGGCATTTCCAACTTTCTTCTTTCCAGAGTCTTCTCTGTCCCTGGAAGTCCTGCCTATACCTTCTACCTAGCTGTTGGACATTCAGTTGTTTCTTACAACAATCACAGCAACACATCTTCACACAGTGTACAAATATCCTACAACACTACATGACCTGCCAAAGCTTTGAGCTTTTCTTGTCCCTGTGCCTTTCTTTTCCCCTCTGGTTTCGTTGCCTCCATAACTGTTTCAATAGCTTTGGTTATTGAATTAAGACATCTTGTCCTTATATCCTATGATCAAATATGAGATTTTTTTAGGTCTTAGAGTATAAATGTTCATGATCTCAGCCCTGATATTCCACATGGCCACTGGTAGATGTTTATACAGTCTCCGTTCAATGCTGTTCTACAAAGACAGCATTTATGGATTTATGGATTTATAATGTTGTCTTTGTAATACATAAATCCATATTTGTCACACAGAATTCATTCCTCTTTGTTCTTTCTGTACCTGAAGTCATCAATAGAATCCACCAAAAAGACCCTAAAGTTCAGAACTGCAGAGTTATTTTTTTCATCTTCGGCTGCTGTGGTCTTAAATACTGTAAGATGCCCTTGATCTCAAGAACCTCTTGCAAAGCTGCTTCTCAGTCTTCTTGTGGACTGGATTCTCCCATGGAAGCTTTCTGTAATGTATCTTTTCAGCCTCCACTCTGTGCATTACTGAAATATGTTGCACTTCAGCCCTCTGTGATCCCCCTCAGTGCTCATGCATGGTTTCTCAAGGAGAATAGAGGGCAACACATCCTAGTTTTTCAACTTTACCCACTGCCCTAGTTTCCTTATTTGCACTTCTATTCTAGAAACAGCTCAAAAAATGTCACTTTTGCAATCAGCCTGAATATAGATTCTGCTCTGCTGCCTGCTAACCTGTGCTCTGCCATGATAAACCTTCTCATCTATAAAGAGGTGAAATTTCCAGATTCTCTGGTGGCTTGTGTGAGCCCATAGAGGCAGAAGGAGTGTGGGGTTCAGCCTCTGCATTGCAGGCAGCTCTCCGACCCTTCCTTCTCTCATTAGGAGTTAGGAGGGCAAAAGATCTACACCTTTTGACCATTGCTTCCAGAACCTCTCTACCAGAAACCCATCCCCCCTAGTTCTTTATCAGAGTGCATCTCAAAAACCGTGTCTCAGAAGTCTAAGTAAAGAAGGGTTGTTTCTTTCAATCTTTAAAAGAAGGATTAAGGATGTTGCTGGTTGGCAGAATATTTGCATAGCATTGTTAGGCCCTGGATTCCACAGAATATACTGTTTTTAACTACCTATCACCTATCATCTATCTATCTATATCTGCCTATCTGGTTATTTACTAATAGAGCTGTTCATATAAATAAGGACACCAAAGTGAATTTTGAGAAATGATCTTCGGAAAGATATTATTGAACACTGTATTAGTTACCTTTGCATTGCTCTGATAAGATATCATGACCAAGGAAACTTACACAAGAAAGCATTTAACTGAGCTTTCAGTTTTAGAAGGTTAGAGTTCATGATAGCAGGACAAATCAGGCACAGTTGTGAGCTCACATCTTGGTCCACAAACAGAAGGCAGAGGGAGTACAGTGGTGATGCCCTGAGACTTTTGAAACCCCCAAACTATCTCTTGGTAACACAGATCTTCTAACAAGGCTCCACCTCTTAATCCTTCCCAAATAATTCTATCCCTGGTGACCACGTATTCAGACTTGTGAGCCTATGGGCCCATCCTTCAAACCACTACAGACATAATAAGAACTTCTATGAATGTTCTTAAGAGAGGGGTCTATTTCTTTGTTAGTATTTCAGTTTAGTTGATGATTAGGCTTTGGAGGCCAGAGTAAGAATGCATGAGAGGATTCACCAGAATTATGACTTAACAGGCACAGTAATCTCTATCCATTTTAGCAGATGACAGGGCATCTTATTTCAAAAACCATGCAGAGTGCCTACCAGTTTCACCGCTCATTGATCATTTTGTGTGAGACTTTTCCTTTTGTGTGGGCTTTGAAACAAACTTCCTTCAAATAGCAATAGATGGAAGATTGTTTTCTGACAACATAAGATGGAAGCCATAGACAAGATTTCTTCTCTCCCACTGTGTAGCCTTGAGCCAGCCACCCAACACCTTTAACCCAGGGAGAATATCAAGAAGGAATGTAAAATTGATTCCTAATTGTACGTTCATTCTGACTATTAAATCAAGTCTTTTTTGTAAAGAGCTGAAGAGCATCTGGTTCACACACATGTTCAATAAATGGCAGTGAGTGAGTGTAAAGTTACTCCATGTTCCTTAGGGCAAACAGATTTTACATTTAGGGCAGTTTGTGTGTGGGGAGGGGGTTCAAAATAAAAAGAACATTGGTGAGAGGACTGTGAAATGCTTGGCAGCAGTTAGTGGGGTGAGCAGTTAGTGGGGCAGCAGTTGTTTGTGTTTTAAGAAACAATGCTTGCCTGAAGATCAGAGTGCAGAGCTAGCCACACTAGTTAGCCATTAAAAGTGGTGGCTCACACTTTTAATCCCAGCACTCAAGAAAGAGGCAGATGGATCCCTGTTAGTTCAAGGCCACCCTGGGCTACACAGAATGGATCTGGTCTAAAAGAGAAACAGAGCCTAAACGGTGGTGGTTTACAAATTTAATCTCAGTAATTGGGAGTCACATGCCTTTAATCCCACCATTAGGGAGGAGACAGGAAGGGATGTGGCTGGATAGAGAGAGCAGGTGGAAACAGGATCTCAGAGATTCAGTCCGAGGTTTCGTAGAGACAGGATTGCCTATTTGGTTTGAGGATTCTCTGGAGTTAAGAAGTCTCTCTAGTGGCTGGCTCCTTTACTTCTCTGATCTTCAAGCAAGCTTCATTGTTAGATCACAAACAAAATATCACAAGCACATATAACAGTCCCTGAATAGTGGCGAGCAAGCTTTCCCACTTTTCCTATTCTCCTTTCATTTGGTTTCTAGAACACACTACTTTAATTTTTTTCAAGACAGGGTTTCTCTATGTAGCTTTGGAACCTGTCCTGCAACTCGCGATGTAGACCAGGCTGGCCTCCAACTCAGAGATCCACCTGCCTCTGCCTCCCGAGTGCTGGGATTAAAGGGGTGCACCACAACTGCCCAGCTATACTACCTTAATTTCTAAGTGGACAAAGATGTAAGTGATGTGGAGAAAACACACACCTCTATTTGTGACATTAAGTGCTAATTTCTAAGAAAAGAAATTATTTTTGCAGATGTCCTTTCTCGGTTGTTTTCTCTATTTGCCAAGAAATGACCTCCTGTCTTCTCCCCCCACTTTTCCCCTAATGAGGAGGACAATGAGGATTTGAAGTGCCAGCTGCAGTTCGTTAAGGAAGAGGCTGCCCTGATGAGGAAGAAAATGGCCAAGATTGATAAAGAAAAGGACAGATTTGAGCATGAACTTCAGAAGTACAGATCCTTCTATGGAGATCTGGACAGTCCTTTACCCAAAGGAGAAGCTGGGGGGCCTCCCAGCACCAGGGAGGCAGAGCTCAAGCTGCGGCTGCGGCTGGTGGAGGAAGAGGCCAACATCCTGGGCAGGAAAATAGTGGAACTCGAGGTAGAGAACCGAGGCCTGAAGGCAGAACTGGACGACCTGAGGGGCGATGACTTCAATGGCTCGGCCAATCCCCTCATGAGGGAGCAGAGCGAGTCCTTGTCCGAGCTGCGACAGCACCTGCAGCTAGTGGAAGATGAGACCGAGTTGCTGCGAAGGAACGTGGCAGACCTGGAGGAGCAGAACAAGCGCATCACTGCGGAGCTGAACAAGTACAAGTACAAGTCCAGCGGCCACGACAGCTCCAGGCACCACGACAGTGCCAAGACCGAGGCCCTTCAGGAGGAGCTGAAGGCAGCTCGCCTGCAGATAAACGAGCTGAGCGGCAAGGTCATGCAGCTGCAGTACGAGAACCGCGTGCTCATGTCCAACATGCAGCGCTACGACCTGGCCTCACACCTGGGTATCCGTGGCAGCCCCCGCGACAGCGACGCCGAGAGCGACGCGGGCAAGAAGGAAAGCGACGATGACTCCCGGCCTCCCCATCGCAAGCGCGAAGGGCCTATTGGCGGTGAGAGCGACTCGGAGGAGGTGCGGAACATCCGCTCCCTCACTCCCACCCGCTCCTTCTACCCCGCGCCCGGGCCCTGGCCCAAGAGTTTCTCCGATCGACAGCAGATGAAGGACATCCGCTCCGAGGCCGAGCGCCTGGGAAAGACCATCGATCGGCTCATCGCAGACACGAGCACCATCATCACTGAGGCGCGCATCTACGTGGCCAATGGGGACCTGTTCGGACTCATGGACGAGGAGGACGACGGCAGCCGCATCCGCGAGCACGAGCTGCTCTACCGCATCAACGCGCAGATGAAGGCTTTCCGCAAGGAGCTGCAGACCTTCATCGACCGCCTGGAAGTACCCAAGTCTGCAGATGACCGCGGCGCCGAGGAGCCCATATCCGTGAGTCAGGTACAGTTCTGCCTTTTGCGAGCCTTGGCGATGGCCTATGGAGCTGCGGTCCCTTGTAGGGCGTCTTCAACCCCGACTTCACATCTCACTTTAGGGAAGCTCCATCTCATAGCCTTGCTGGGCTTTAAAGCCCTGAAAGGCCCCTGTATTTTCGCAGTGTGTTCCACCAGGCAGGGGTTCCTGAAACCTGATAGATCACTAACAATTATTCCTTCCTGATCTATTTGAAGGGGAAATTTAACACTGACACAATCGGGTTTTGCATAATGACTGACGATTTTTAATGCACATTATCATCTTAAAAGGTCAATTTTTCAGTATTTCCCTACCAAGTTGGCCGGCATAAAGGTCCTCAATAGGAAACCTCAAGTGTTTGAGGTTTGTGAGCAAGGTCCAAAATGAGTTTAAGATCATAAAAAAAAATGACTAAATAACCCGGGGGGAAGTGGTGCACCCCTCAAATCCCAGGACTTGGGAGAAGTAGAAGCAGGTGGCTCTCTGTGGTTATAGGCCCCCAAGGCTGCAGAGTGATATCCTGTCTAATTTTTTCCCCGAATTAAACAAGATTATTCGATACAAGCTACCCCTCTACCTAAGTTGAAGTAACACAGTGGTTAGTTCTAGTTAGAACACCCTTAGTCCAATAGTGGAGACCCACAGTGAGAAGTTTGTAGCATAGCTTTAAGGCAATATTAATTCAAAGAAATAATAATAAGTATTCCAGCACAGGGGAAAGCAGCATTTCCCTACTGACTTGTAGAGGCATACCGGATGAATGGGACTCAACAGCCTTGGCCAGGTATGGTGGCCACTGAAAGATCAAGGCCACGTTAATCACATAAGAGATCTTTATGGAACCAAGCAGGCAGTACCATCCCTTGCAGCAGCCTGATGTCCCGTGTCCATTGGAGAACCCACCGAAGTACAACAGCATGCATGGCTTTGAACACACTCGAGACACGGGTGTTTAAAACCCAGTTTATGCGCAGTCGCATGACATTAGATTACTTGCCTGTTGACCACAGCCCCATCGCTTATCTTGCATGTTGCAATGCTTTGCTGTGGCGGGGGAAACTATGATGGAACCCATTGGCTTTCACAATGTTAAATGCTACTCTTTTCTATTTAGTATGTTATGGTACCAGCTTTGGTTTTCATTTTGCAGGTTTTTGAATACCCAGCATGTGGTGTTTTCAGCTACACTCTTGGGGGGAGGTAGATATTTATCAGAGTGAGAAAAAGTGCTGTTTATAAAGAAGTATTTTAAGAATTTGAAATACAGGTCTAATTGGGGGAGTATCTGTATTTGAGTCAGTGCTTTCGTAAGTTGATACAAATGTAAGGTTTAAGATGATTACTAATTAACGCTTCTCCTTGTCTCTCCATTTGCCTTCCCAGATGTTCCAGCCTATCATTTTACTTATTCTCATCCTCGTATTATTTTCGTCACTTTCTTACACAACAATATTTAAACTTGTCTTCCTTTTTACACTGTTTTTTGTACTGTAAATTCTTCATCATTTACCATTTGTTGTAGTGTTTTCAGTTGTTTTATTTTGTCCACCCTTCGAGACAAGACATACAAGAAGTATCATTTCTGTAGTAACCGATGCTGTAAAAACACTGAAGACTGCATAGCTCTGTAAAAAGACACAACTCATCTTACACTGTCAAATTCAATAGAAAACCCCAACAACCAAAAGATTTCAGGTAAGGAAAACAAAACATAGCAGATGTTTTTGTAAATCATATTTTTGCCTCATATATATATATATGTATAAATATATTTATCTTTTAATTCCTAATTGACAGGTCAACTCTAAAACATGGACTAAATATCATAATTAACTTCTAGGAATTGAGTGTTAATTCAATCCTCGAAATATTTAAGTTGGTTGCATTTTCAAAAGTCATCTAGAGGCATTAAGTATAAGTAAATGTAGATGTTTTATAAATTATCTCATATAGCTTACATAGATTTATGAGTACAGTGTTATTTGTGTTAGACCAAAAAGAAAATGTCAGTGTTCAATAAATATCTGTTCAAAAAATATGCTAAATGATGAAATGTCACTCTCCTGGAAAGTAAATAATATGTTCTGAAACTGACGTGTTTTGTCTTCAGAGACGTATTTTGGAATCAGTCTAAGTGATCTTTTAGTTCAATTAGAAACTAAATATCCCCCCTCCCCATTTAATTTATCTGTTTTCATTATATCAGCTATCTCTCCATTTATGTATTATATATGAATCTATGTATTGTTGGCCTTGTTGCTGGGAGTCCCTTCTTTTCTATGATAAACTACCACACAGGACTGCCTTCACAGAAGAAAATATGCTAGCAATATAGCACCAGGAACCACGTAAGAAGGAAAGTAAACACAGTATCTAGAATTTCCTTGAGTTACAATACAAACCTGGAAGCATAGTTTCAGTGGAGCTACTCTGTAAACCTAAATTTACTTTGGTGACCCCTAGCATTCCTGTCTTGTTGTCTATACCTAAAGTCACCTGGGTGGATTCTACATATCAAATATTCTATTCTGCCCATCTCATTGCTAGTTTACCCACTGGGATCCTACAATACATGGAAATTCCAGCACTGGACCCAAGTGTGGTGGTACATACTTGTGACCTCAATACTGGGGAAGCTAAGACAAGAGGTTTGTGAGTTCAAGGTCAGACTGAACTATATAGTCAGACCTCAGAATAAGAAAACTCATATTGTCATTTCACATATATGTCAGTGGATGTGAAAATCTGTGATAAAATGAAGTCTCTTGACCCAGGGGAAAGATCCCATGGGGAAGTTTTCCAGTTAAAGATGTGCAGGCAGCCCTTTGGGATCCCAGGAACTTAATCTGCAGAAGAATGTTTTCCCCCACTGCTCCATTTCTCCTTAAATGTTACATTTAGGAAAATTTTGCTAGGGAAATGGTTCAGTGGGTAAGAGAATTTGCTCCACAAACATGAGGACCCAAGATCAAACCCCATAACCCACATAAAAAGCTGTGCATGGGGAGTGGAGATGGGGCAACAGGAGGAAAGTGATAGAGGAGGGCATTCAACAGCTTCCTTTGGCCTCTACTTGGCCTGTTGCTGCATGCTCACATGCATCCAGCACTACCGTCACCACATACATACCACACACACACCACCACATACCACACACACACCACCACATACCACACACACACCACCACATACCACACACCACCACATTCACATACCACGCACACACCACCACCACATACCACACACACACCACATTCACATACCACACACACACCACCACATTCACATACCACACACACACCACCACCACATACCACACACACCACCACATACCACACACACCACCCCCACATACCACACACACACCACCACCACATACCATACACACACCACCACCACATACCACACACACCACCACCACCACATACCACACACACCACCACATACCACACACACACACCACCACATACCACACACACCACCACCACATACCACACACACACACACTACCACATACCACACACACCACCACATACCACACACACACACCACCACATACCACACACACCACCACCACATACCACACACACACACACTACCACATACCACACACACCACCACATACCACACACACACACCACCACCACATACCACACACACACACACCAACACATACCACACACACCCCCACACCACACACACACACACCCCCCCCACATCCCACACACACCACCACCACATACCACACACACCACCCCCACATACCACACACACCACCCCCACATACCACACACACACACCACCGCCACATACCACACACACACCAACACCACATACCACACACACACCACCACATACCACACACACACCACCACATACCACACACACACACACCACACACACACACCACCACCACATACCACACACACCACCCCCACATACCACACACACACACCACCGCCACATACCACACACACACCAACACCACCTACCACACACACACCACCACATACCACACACACACCACCACATACCACACACACACACACCACCACCACGAATCACACACACACACACACCACCACCACATACCACACACACACACACCACACACACACACCACCACCACCTACCACACACACACACACACACACACACACCACACACACCCCACCACATACCACACACACACACACCACACACACACACCACCACCACATACCACATACCACATACATACCAGCACCACCACACCATATACTACACACAAATACCACAACCACTACTATCACATGCCACACACACACACACCACCACCACCTTACTACCACCATCAAATACCCCCACACACACCACCACTACCACCATCACCATCACACCACATACCCCCCTCACACACACACATTTAAATTAAGAAAAGTTTACAGTAGTTGAAAAGTTCAATTTGTTTAGGATTTTTTTTGTACTTTGTTTATCTTGTTATAAGTGTTTCTGAAGAGGGAAAAAGACATTGTCTGATGAGTGGTTTGCCAACAGTTGGAATTAGTCAATAAATAGATTTTGTTTGGTTGGGTGTTTTTCCTTTGGTTTTCTGTGTTAGTAGTGGAAACCAGGCTTTTCTATATGGCAGGCAAATGCTTTACCATAGAAATATATGCCTAGCCACATTTGGGTTTTAATCTTAAAATGCAAACGGCTAAAGATTAGGTAGGCTTTCATGAGAAAAGAGAAAGAAAGGAGAAAAATTGTATGCTTGGTCAAACTGGTAGCACATCCTGTAATCATCGCAATTAGGAGATGGAAGCAGGAAACCATGGCAAATTTGAAGTCAGCTTGCTTTACAAGTTTAGAGTCTGGTTTTTTTTTTTTTTAATGGAACTGATCATAAATGTTTAAGAGTTGAAATTGAGATTTGTATGAAGTGTCTATGGCACTTGGAGCCAGAGATCCCACAGCCAACCAGTGGTTTTTAGCTAAATGTGGAGCCTCTGGAAATGCATGAGGTCACAATGACTGGGAAGTTCCCTACAGTGCTGGTACCATTTTTTTAAAATATGGGGCAGGAGAGAAGGCTTAGAGCACTCTATATGCTTGCAAGAGAACCTCGGTTCTGTTCCCATCACCCGAATGGCATCTCACAACTGTCTGTCTACAACTCCAGCTGCAGGGGACCCAGTGCCCTATTCTACCCAATGTTAGTACCACAAGCATGGTGCATATGCAGACATTGCAGGTAAACAACCACACACATGAATGCACATAAGTAAAAGTAAATTTTCAGAGAGAAAGAAAAACTCTCTTCACTAATGCGATTTCTCAAAATGAACAAAATCAAAGAAGATACGAGAAATACTAATGTAACTGGAAGGAGAACCAAGAAGAATGGAATGTGAGTTCAGAGTCAGGCACACTCACAGTTAAGTAGATGTGCACAGAATATCAAATCCTCACCATGATATATTTGCCGTAAGAAGATCCATAGGCTTTCTTAAAGTTACTGGAAATATCTGTAGCGGTAGTAGTAAAAGTACTTCAGCAATAACTTATACCATCTGAGATAGCCAAATAACATTATCTTTAGCTATCTTTTTGGCATCCATGCATACCCTGGCTACAGAAGTGTTGATATGAATGCCTTGGACTGATTTTTATGCAAGAGTTTTATGTGACTGTTAGTTCCCAGCCACGCCTTCCATAGATAGAACTTTCGCAGCATGCTGGGAAGGTGACAGCAGACTGTTAGGACTAGCACTGCATACTCTGGGGCCTTTGGTCCCCTCTGACAACATCTCTAAACTGAAGGATGTAAATTTACTGCCCCAGGGAATTCTAAGGAAGTTATTTCTAATTCTTGTGCTTCAGCATGTACACACGCATAGACACAGACACAGACACAGACACACGCACACGCACAGACACAGACACACACACACACGCACAGACACAGACACA